CTGCTCCAAGCTCTTTCTAACATTAACTCGGCTCACCATTCCTCAGCACTTCGTATAGACTAAGAGTAGCATGCACCAACACGCTCAGCACATGTTTTATTTACATCACAGTACGTATTACCACCTTGTGGCAAAAGTTAGAACATGTGCTGAGCAATCCCATGATGATGCTAACTCTGGTCTGCCTCCCGCACGCTTCAGGAGTTGCTCCAGTGAGCCGGGTTTCTCCTGCTGACAGCCAGCCAAGGGAGCAGGGGAGCCAAGCCCAGGAGAGGGAGTCGTCCCAGCTGCTGGATCCCACCAGTGGCGATCAAGGCACCCAGATAGTCCTGGGGCTGGGACCCACAATCAGCAACAATGATGGGACAGCAGTGAGGGCATTTATCTTCAAACCAGACTAGACGGAGGCTTGTTCAACATTGCCAGGTTTAGAGCATAAACCAGAGTGAAAGAGCTGGTGCTGAGAGATTTCCTGTTGCTGGAGGATGCGGCCTCGGTTGCCTGCTCTGGATCTGGCACCAAGTGCTTGTGTCTTTGTCTGCCCAGTTCCCCTGGGGGCAGGGAAGTGCCGTCATCTTCATTCTCTAGGTGGGAACTGCAGGACATAGAGCCTGGGCAATTAGCCAGAGGGTCACAGAGGAAGTTTGTGCCAGAGCAGTGCTGGGCCCAGGGCTCCCAACTCTTCACGCAGAGCCTCACACCCTGACCATCGTGCTGAGGGCTGGCCTGGCCCTTCATTTCCCTTGGCTTCCCTCCCACTCACCGCCCTGCTCCCCCATGCTGCATACTCATGGCCCCTTCTTGCCCCCAACACTGTCTGTCTGAAAAGGCCCTGAGGATCCAGAGAAGGAAGGACTCGGTCATCTTCTGGCTGTCTGAACTGTCACTTTGTCTGCACACACACGACCACAATGGATCAGAAACTAGGACCATGGAAAATTTCCTTGGGAACATCACTGAAGACTCCCTTTTGTCTTGGGAATGGGGAAAATCTTAGAAAGCAGCACAGACTGCAGCAAGGATGAGACCCCCAAAGTGCAAGGCAGTTTCTGGATGCAGGATCTTTATTGGACTCCAATAAAATGGACACAGACATACAGCAGGGAAATGCAATGCTGGGGACAGTGACAGAAAACCCCAGCTCTGCGGCTGTGGAAGCACGTGACACTGCAAACACCCTGGGGATATGCCAGTTCCAGGGACAGCTACATAACAGACTGGGAAATCCCCACAGGCTCCAAAGAGCAGCTTTGGGGCCCTCTTCTCCACCCACAGAAGCAGAAAGAAACTGGTACCCAGACCCCTCAGGAGCCCACAGCTCCCTGTCCCCAGGGCCTGAGCCCTTCAGCCCTGCTGCTCTCTCCCCTCCCCCACCCCTAAACCAAGTGCCCCACAAGGTCAGATTGTGGGGGACTTGGTTTTGTCATGGCACAAACCTAGCTCCTTCTCATGAGTCTCTCCCACCCACAGGAGATTGGTCCTGACCATCTTCACCCAAATCCTACCACACAGGCTGTGCATTGCTGCTGGCGTCCCTGGCAATGACGGTAGCCCCCCCCCTGCCCCGCCAGCTACTGGCAGGGCAGCCTGTGCAGGATGATTTCCTACCAATCTTTATCTTTGAGGAAATGGTCCTTTTCCAATTGCTCTATGACCAGACCAGGCTTCACTCCTTTCACAGCCTCCAGCTCTTGCTTTGTTTCTGCATTTAGTTTGGGAAGGGTCAACCTTTGGGTTGAAAAGAAAAGAAAAAAGAATAAAACATGAATTCTCTCTGTCAGTAACTCCGTGTAGAAGCCATGGACCCTGGGACAAAGCACACCACTGGCAAACCCAGGCAGCTTCTAGTGGTGGGGAGGAGGCACTGTGTACCCACGCCCCATGAGCTGGCGAAGCCCAGGGGGCATCACAAAGAGGCCACTCCCGTCCAGATCCAGCCGCTGTGTGTGGGGAATGGAAACCAGCTGTGGGCTTCTGTAGCGTCCCAACCCACCCCACTCCACCATTGGGGGTCCTGGAAGCCACAGGGTTGGGGCTCTGTGCGTGCTTCCATGTACATCCATGCAGGGAGGGAGGTGCAGAACCACGGGTCTGTGTGTGGGTATGTGCATGCGTGCAGAAGCATAGGAGAGGTGTGTATGTATGTGTGTCTTTTTGTGCGTGCGTGCATGTGTGCCTGTGTGCACGCATAGTGCACCCCATCCTGGATTTCCTTAACCGCATCCCAGATTTCACCAAAACCTGTATGGTCACCATACCCAAAAGAGACCCAGAGACACAGACATAGGCAGCTGTGGTCAGCCGACCTATTCCACTGGCCCAAACACTAGGACGAAGACATCTCCCCTTGTTGAATGTTTTCCATACAGAGTCTAATGAGTGCCCAGAGGAGGCTGAATGCTCCTTACCTCGGTGTCTGGGACTTGCAGCTGGGATGTCTCAGTCCCTCTGCCCACCAGCCCCCTCCATGGCCAATCAGCACGGACAATGGGGCAGAAGTCCCACTTTCTGCCCTCCCCCAGGATCCACCTCTTGACCAAGGAGAAACCAGTGCTTCCTGCTGCTCCCAGCCAATGAGGACAGAAGGGCTGGCAGAGCCCAGAGGGCACGGTAAAGGGGTTACTCCCAGCTGGGTCCAGCCTCTCCATGATGGGGATGGAGGCTGGGCATAGGTCCCCACGCTGTCCCACCCTGCCCCACTCCACCATCAGGGCTCCTGGGGGCCATGGGGTTGGGGCTGTTTCTGTGCATGTACGTGTGTCCATGTGGGGAGTAAGGTGCAGAGGCACACGCATGTCTACGTGTGTGTGTGTATGTGTCCTTTATGTGTGTGAGAGAGCAGGCATGGGGGGTGCCCCCACCCCAGATTTCCTTACCATTTTGGTCAATTTTTCTAAAAATGGTATGTTCACCCTACCCAACAGAGAGCCAGAGTCACAGACCCAGGTGTCTGTGGTCAGCCTATCTATTCCACTATCCTAAATATTAGGAAGAAGACACCTTGCCATGTTGAACATTTCCCCAGAGACCCTAGTGAGCTCCCAGAGGAAGCTGCATGCTTCTTACCCCAGTGTCTGCAACTTGCAGCTGGGCTGTCTCAGGCCCTCGCACAGCAGCCGCACGCCGCCATCCCCCAGACCATTGTTATCAGTCAGGTCCAGCTCTGTCAGGCTGGGGCTGGTGCTGAGAGCAGCGGCGAGATCCTCACAGCAGGTGTCTGTGAGACCGCACCACTGCAACCTGCACAGAGAAGCACAGAGGAGAGAGATCAGGGCATGAATAAGGCCAGTGCAGATCCTCTGACAGGCAGAAAGTCCTGTCCTAGACCTGGTCCATGTTTCAGGCCTTGCCCAATGACAAACCAAGAAAGACCCATAGGAGACTGGGGAAAATCAAGACCCTGAGAGGGCATGGACTATGTGAGCCTGGTTGCACAGCCTGCTCCATAGCCCTGTTGCTGTTTTAAAACACAAATGTTATTGGCAGGGATCCTGGTTTTCTCTGATAAAAAGCCCAAAACTTTCTGATAAAAATCCCAGATTCTCTGATGAAAATCTCCCAAATCCATGTTTTTCCATGATTAAAATGAAATGCCACTATGCATATAGGTAACAGTTGAAAACAATGTTTTATTGCTATATGTACAATTCTAATGCAGCTTGGAAGCCTACCAATGCCTTAGTTATTACAATGAAATACATTCTAAATACCTAGAGATTTTGGAGTTTGATCTTGCTTTATAATCTTAGAAAATCAGAACTCCACCTGCCCCCTTAGCTCACCAGGAAGCAGGTCCAGCTGTGACTGCCCCCCCTTCTCCCCTGCTGTTTTGTTGTGCTGAGCAGCTCTGATATGCTGGTGCCCCTCACTCCCAAGCTGCAGCCCCCACAGCATTGCCCATGCCCCTCGCTCCTGACCTGCACTCCTGACCTGCACCCCTGACTCCTGACTGCTGCCGGGCAGGAGCAAGTGGGGGTAGGCAGGGGCTGTGTCCCCTGCCTACCCCCACTTGCTCCTGTCCAGCAGCAGTTCCCACCCCAGCACCAGAACATGGAAACAACTGCAGCTGTCCTCTCTACTCCTTTGTGGTGCTGAACAGCCCTGACAAGCCCCTGCCCATGCCATTGCCCCTCACACCCAAACCACAGCCCCGCTACCATGGCCAGTGCCCCTCACTGCCACCTGACAACACCTTCCTGCCCCCATCTCACTGTCTCCCAGTAGCAGCTCTCCCCCTGCACCAAGTGGCTGTGTGGGGCAGGGGCTGGTGCTCAGGGCAGTAGTGTGTGGACACAGGCAATGCATAAGTGCTGGCACTGGGGATGGCACAACTCCATGTTGCCACCACAGTGAAGGGGCATAACTCTGTGCCAACAGCACTACCCGCACTGCTTCCAGGTGGGCAGGGGGCATCTCACCTTGGTGGCCATGGTGGTGTGGCAGGCACAGGGCTTCTGACAGTGTTGGGAGCACCAAATCTCCCCACCCTGCTCCTCACTCCTGCACTGGGTCCCACCCACCAGACCGTGGAGGTGGCTTCTGCCTGGTGCAGGTCTGGCCCGGCTGCAGTCCTGTGCCCTGTGTCCCACTGTCAGCAAAGAAATCTGGAGGGGCCCCCATGCTCCTCCAATGTGTTGCCAATGTGTGTGGGGCAGGGGGTGTGTGGAGCTTTCCACAGCTTGTTCTTTGCCTCAGATGCAGGAATGGTCCAGACTCATCGGAGCTTGGACCTTGATGTCCCAGATGGGCCTTGTGCCATCGAGGCCATGCAGCAAGCTCTAGCATATCTAGACCGCCCCTATGCCATTGGGAGGCCCACTGATGGTGCAGGGCTGGTCTGGGCTCACAAGAGTTGTCCCTGCCTCCCCCCCAACAATGTAGCAGCGTCAGTCCCCAAGCCCTGGTCCTCCAACACCCCCACCCCCACACACCTGCCCCATAGATTTGTCTGCATGCAGCTGCTGGGGCTGCTCCCACCACCCTGCCTGTTGTATTGCCAGTCGTGTGTGCGTGGGTGCAAATGCACAAGGCACCCCTTGCCCTGTTTCTTTTCCCCTTTTATTTCCCCAGCCCTGCCTCCAGTCATCCTTCTGCTGCTCCCTCCAGCCCCAAGCAGCTTATTGCAGGCTGGAACTCTGTCAGCCTGCAAAGGGAAACCTGTGGTTTCCCACTTTGAAGGGGAAAACCCAGGCATGTCTCCTTCAAAGGGGGAAATCTGTGATTTTTTGTGGTTTTCCACAGGGAACAGAAAACCCACATCCCTGAGTATAAGTAACCCCAGTGCTCTGTGCCACATCGCCTTGCTCTCCTTGTACTCACCTGCATGAAGACGCCACATTGGGCTTCACTGCAGATATCTGTGGTGGTGATGGCTTTCTCAAACAACTCTTTTATCCATTGGCAATGTGTAGGGGGAGCACGCAGGTGCACATGCTCCCCCTGAGCATGGCTGTGCAACCCCTGCAAAAAAGCACCACGACACTGTTGGTGGAGTCTACGGGCAGTTGCCGCTCACTACTCCACTCCTCGCTGCCACTGCCACCAAATCGAGAGGACCTCGCACTCGCCTCCCGAACATCAGCTCGAAGGGCGAGAACCCAGTGGACTCCTGGGGCACCTCCCGGTAGGCAAAGAGCAACTGTGGCAGTTTCTCATCCCAGTCATTGGGGTTGGAGTCCACATAGGCCTTTAGCATACCTTTCAATGTCCCGTTGAACCTTTCCACCAGCCCGTTTGTCTGAGGGTGGTAGGCTGTGGTCTTAAGGTGTTGCACCCCACAGCAGTCCCACAGGCACTCCATTATCTCCGCCATGAAGTTCCCACCCCGGTCCGTCAGGATCTCGGAGGGAAAACCCAGCTGGCAGAAGACCTTGATGAGGGCGTCAGCAACCACGGGTGCCTCGATGGAGGTCAAGGCAACTGCCTCCGGGTACCGCGTTGCGTAATCCACTAGAGTTAGTATGTATTTCTTTCCTCTACAAGTCCTATGCTTCAGCGGTCCCACAATGTCCACTGCCACTCTGGGGAAGGCTTGGTCGATGATCGGGAGGGGCTGCAGGGGAGCCCTTCTCTTGTCCCCACTTTTGCCCGTCCGCTGGCCTGTTTCGCAGGATTTGCAGTAGTCCGTCACATTCTGGGCAATTCTGGGCCAAAAAAAGTTCACCTGCAACCGCTGGCGTGTCCGTTCCCTGCCCATGTGACCAGCACACGGTAGATCGTGAGCCATGGCAAGCAATTGCTGTCTGTATTTTCGGGGTACTATGAGCTGGCGCTGGGGCTCCCAGGTCTCGGCATGGTTCTTCGGCACCCACAACCGATAGAGAAGCCCCTTATCCCAGACCACCTGTTCCCTCTTGTCCGGAGTGAACTCAGTCTCTTGCTCCTGAGCCATCTGCCGGAGTCCCTCCAAGCTGGGGTCCTCCCGAACCTCCCGCTTGAACTCCTCTTGCCCAGCTAGGCAATCAGCAGGGAGCTCAGGTGCTCCTGCAGGGAGTGCACACTCACCCTCAGGGACTTCCTGGGTCTCCTCCCTGCTTGTCTCCCCTCCCTCTGCCACCGACGGAGTAAACACCTCCCCGGGACTGTCACTTAACCCACCCTCAGGGTCACTAGTTGCCTCCGGGACCAGGGTGCAATCGCCGTCTGCAGGGGTCCCTTCCCCTGCGGCCAATGGTGTGGCTTTCTCCTGGGGATTTTCTAACCCCCCTTCTTTAGCCTTCCTGCTCTGCAGGCGAGTCACCGCATGAACAGTGCGGGGCTTTGACTCTTGGGCCTGTTCCCACCTCCGGAGCTGGGCTTCCTGCTCTATAAGATCCCATCCCACCAGGATGGGGACCGGAGCCCCTTCCAGTACCCCCATTTCCAGGTACGTAGCACAGTCGTTCCACACGACGGGGGCCTGGAATACCGGTACCTTCAGGGGTGTGGGCCCCACTCCTTGAATAGTGAGGGTCTTCCCCGGGATTATGTCTGCAGGCGAGACCAGGTTGGAATTAATGAGTGTCACACAGGCCCCCGAGTCCAGTTCCCCCACCAGGGTCCTTTCCTTCACCGTGATCATGGTCCGGTGGGGGGCCATCACCTCCTCTGAGTTTGTGATCCTGTAGCAACAGGCACTGTCCTCAGAGTGGCTCCGGCCCTCCTCCTCACTGCTCACGGCTGTTGCACGCTTGACGGGCCTGGGTTTAGGGTTTAGCTTTGGGCAGTTGGGCTTGATGTGGCCCTGCTCCCCACAGTTATAGCACCCCCTCTTTTCTGAATTGGGTGGTCTGTCCGAATCTGGGGCCGCCTTGCGCTCGGCAGGAGGTGGCCCTCTTTCCCCTTTTTGACCTGGGCCTCCCTTCCCCCCTCTTTGGAACCCTTTTTGCTCCTTCCCAGAGTAGGGGGGCCTCTCACGGTTTAGCAACAGTCGGTCTGCAATTTCAGTGGCCTCGTAAACATCTTTGGGGTCCCTGTCCCTGACTAGGGTCTTAACTTCTCTCGGACAGCAAAAATAGAATTGTTCCAGCACCAGGAGCTGGCGTGACTTATCTAAAGTGTCAACCTTGGCTTCGGCTAACCATTTAATGTATGTGTCGTCTAACAGGGCCACGTAATCAGTGAATGACTTTCCGGGTTGTGGGCGCGTATTCCGGAATTTTTTCCGGAAATACTCTGGTCCTAACTGGAACCTTTTAGACACAGCAGCTTTGAAGGCATTATAGTCATCAGCTGCATCTGAGGGCAGGCTGTTCAGGACACCCGCCATGTCACCTTCTACCAGCGCAGACAGGTACAGCATGATCTTTTCCTCCGGCACCTTGCACCGCTGGGCTTGTCTTTCGAAGTTGCTTAGGAACACCGCAGGATCGTCTCCCTCTCGGTAGCGAGCGAAGGCGGAGACATCTAGTTTGGGCTGTTCCCCAGACGCTTGCGGAGGGTTCGCGTTTCCCCCGTTGGTCTGCAGACGGAGCTGAGCATCGAGCTTTTTCTGCTCGTGCTCTATCTTTTGTGCCTCCAACTGGGCTTCCCTCTCCATCCTCCTCTCTTCCCGCTGTTCCCTCTCACGCTGGGCCTCGAGCTCCAGCCTTTTCAATTCTAGCTGCTCCTTCTCGCGCTGGCGCGGGGCTTCCAGCTCC